TGTGCCAGCAGCTTGCTTGAATCAGGAAGGATTATTGAAAGCGCCATTGGTGACGGGGTGACAAGTGATATCAGGTGGTACAAATAGCTAAGAGGTTATCTTCACCCCCTTTTCAATGATTATTCTGATGCCGACTACTACACTACTGCGTATTGCAGGCGAGGCGCTTAGCGTGTAAGTCCCTTCTTCATCCATAAACGGTTCACGTTGTCGAGCCTAGGAGCGAGCATATTGTGCGCATGAAACGAGACAAAGCAACAATCAGAATATTTCTGGAATGTCAAGTAGGCCCTCTGCTGTGTTCGAATACCGATGATATGCTAAGAGAGGTGGGTAGCAATCAAAGCAAAAAGAAGGACGACCCAATGTTACGACTGATTCTATGCTGGGTTCACCATGTGATGCGCCAGTGTGGGCCAGCTAATTTTGCAAAGGATTAAAAACTGAGGCTCCAGCCGTTGATCAACCTGTTATTTTTTATCTTGCCGAGATGTTTCACGCATAATTCTTCCATTCTGAAAGTGGCCTAGTTTGTGGGTCAGTTTTCGTCCAAACGTTTTACCCTAGTAAACGAGACTGGTACCAAATCGGCGGTTCTGGAGAAACGGAGGGCTTGGAGCGCGTGTTAAGCAACGCCATTCGCCAAAGCACCACTTCCACCCCATGGAGTTCCGTCATACTCTGCGACTCTGTACAATCGGCGTTCTCGGAGAATGAGCGAAAAGGAAAGTATGGGTATCGTTCATGTGTTTTGCGAGAATTGGATAGTCATTGTTAGAGAGACTGGAAGAATGAGAGAGCAGCAGAACGCTAGATTACACGTCATAAATTAGCAACCTCCTTGAAGCGCGCGTTACTTCGCACTTTTACGGCGACAAATACAGGGAATCCTCTCCCGTTCTCTCCACAACGACGATTCTTTTGTTTTCGTAAAACATCACGCCGATACCTACACGTTCCCTATCACTCAAAACTCCAACTCTGCCGGAACGTTGATTCTCCTGAAACGCCGTGTCGCCAAAGTCGCGAAATATGGTCGACCCCTAAGTCAACATAAATTACAAAAAAAGACATCACGCAGTTTCAGGTACATCATTGGTAGCTAATAACCTTGGAAAAGGATACACATTCTTAAATCGTGTCCAGGCACAAAACTGGCATTATGAACGATCGCGAACTGAATTACGTACCTGATGCAGTCGTGCCCACTTTGGAGTTCCTTTCCCAGGCCACGTTCTCATATTCATTACGGTAATTTTAGTTTTGCAAAAGGAATTAAACGCCGCTAGCAAGGTTAATAGCACCCATCGTGGGAAGGAGATTATAGTGAACACCGTCCTAATCCCGTTACATGGATAAACAAGAGACGTTTTCTGTCAGAACACATGCTTTTCTAATATTGCAATGTGCCTACGAACGAGAATAGCCGCTAAATTGCTCCTTCCGATTAATTTATAGAACACAAACACAACAATGCGCAAAAGTATCAGGCAAAACATGAGTTCGAGTAGAAAAGGTGGCCGTAAGCAACTCACCCGATTACATGAACCTAGATACAAGCACTTTCTATCGGGGGGGGGGCGTTACCTCCTGGCTGCTGAACCATTCCTTGAGGATGTTGCTGATAAGTGGGAGGCATCTGCTGTCTCATCATCATGGGCTGTCCATGCATCATTCCTAACAAAAGAGAAATCAGAGCTTTCTCGAAAAAAGTAGAAAGTAAACAGAATTTTAAAAATTTATAACACCCGCAAGTAAAAAAAGACACGAACAGCATGTAGACAGATAAAGGGAGATAGCATGGTCACTGTATCTAGACTTGTGTGGGACGATAGCTCACTCTCAAAGATCCCGATATTTGCCATGTGTGAGATGAAGGGGTCCGCAGCAGCAAAAATCACACGGAAGTGCGTCGAAATAAGGGTGCAGGATAACGATAGCCAGACGGCGTTTCGTACTCCTCCCACAAGCGATGCAATAGACGCAACGAACCACACCACCAGGCATACTCCTAACCATAGCCAATTGCGTTATTTGTCCACACAATCCCATGTTTCGTTGCCCTGCACGATAGACAGACAGCTTGGCGTTTATGTTGTCAGCTACGGGATCTCGCCATCGACGCACATGCGGCACGTTGTGGATAGCGGGTGGGGTCCAAATTGGCATTTAGCTTTCACAAACCTCCTGCTCCATTTCCTCGCGCTCTCGGGTGATGGAAGCGACACAGTTCTAGAGCTGCAGTCCTGCTCACCTCGCACATGGCAACGCAACAATCCGTCTTGCAGGTAAGCGTAAAGAATGTTTTCGAGACAATAAAAACAGAAACTATGGTATCCTGTCCTATCAAAAGTCGTGTTTCGTAATTTACAGTCCGCGATTTGGTCGCGCTGATGGCATCTGGGATGGAAGATGAATAACCTTCCCTTTTCCGAATCACAACGATACAGCTGGCTCTGGCCTCAGTCTGCATGTTTTTATACCAATCACAAGTCAGATACCTTACAAAACTAATATCCTTCAGAAGTATACTGTCGCTAAGCCTTTAGGTAATTTTGGTCCCCCCCCTCCCTTAAGAATAAATACTGATCGCTAAAAAAATGAAAAATCAGTAAACACAGTATCTCACACTGAGGTTGAAGAACAACCTGACGGTGTTTAAAAAAAACTAAACCGGTACTCCTGCAGTCTTACCCATGTTTTGGTGCTGAAACTGCTGATTATTTTGCATCATGTTCATGGGTTGCTGGGCAGATACTGGCATAGAAGCTGGCATTGGCTGGCTCTACAAAAGAAAACTAATCATTACGGAGCACATCATAAGTGTAAGAGATGTCTCGAAAAGAGTTACCGCAAAAATAGGTTGCTGCTGATATTGTTGTTGTTGCTGATTCATCATTCCACCCATGTCCACTACAATAATTCAGTGATACAAACTTTGTTTGATAACATAAATACTTCAAAAAGTTCGTGGATACACATCAAATTTTCGAATGAATAAATAATAGAACTCAGTGTCTCTAAAGAGTCATTTCACGTTTACTTATAAGAAGCCTCAAGTGGGAAAGGTAATGTAAGCTACAAAGGTGAACTTCGTGTCCATCTCGCGGTAGAAAGCGGTAAGTTGGAAGCAGTAAGATGCAAGGAGGCCCAGGTAGCTCCATCAGAGCTCAAGCGACTCTACCCCGGTGTTTGTCGTTATGGTCGTTTTGTGTGGTCGTCACTGGTCCCCCCCCCCCCCCTCCGAACCAAATTCCAAATTTTCGATCCTTGCTCAGAATCAGCTGCAATGAAGGAGACTTCATTAAGAACTCTTTCCTGCTCGGTGAGGCAATGAACACAAACTTTCTGAATGTTTAACAACACTGTGAAACTCCAAAATTTTTCTTCCAGTCTCAAACATTTACCAGAAACGAAAGTTTTTATGATATTTACGTTTTCATCTTCGATACCGGGACAGCACACAGTATCCAACGCTTCATTTTCAATCAGAACTTACGAAAAAGTTGCCTTCAAGAAAAAGCAGAGTGCATTCGATCTGTTTTAATGAGTTACAGTATTACAGCCCACCGAAACTATCATAGCTTTGTCAAAAAATGAGCGATTAAGTAAAATAAGAAGCCAACTTACTTGACTGAGGAATTATGTGCTGCGGCTGCATCGGTTGATGGAACTCTCCTCCAGAAAACATCGGTTGGCTATTTGCATTCATCTACGAAAAACAACAGTTAGCAGCTCACTGTGGCACATAAACAAAAAAGACGTCTAGAAAAAGCGGTGCGCTCTCTGAAAAAATTACCTGTTGCGGGCATAGGAACTATCTAGGGACAGATGCCGTTTGGACACGCTTAGTTTTGGCTGCTGGCTCATTTACCAAGTGCCTAGATCATCAAATCCACCGAAAACTTGTATACAGTTATTTAACATCCTGATTATCAATATGACATTCATTCTTGGCGCTGACGCTAACAGAGAACATCACGATTATCTGCGCTCTGCTAGGGCTGAGCCCGGAAGATAATGGTAGTGTCCTCCTTTAGTGCCAGCGTCAAGAATGAATATCATGTTCGTAATTAGGATGTTAAATAACTCCTGTATACAGATTTTCAGCGGATTTGATGATCTAGGCACTTCATGCATGAGTCCAGCAGCCAAAACTGAGTGTGTCCAAACGGCATCAGCCCTATCTACGCCTCGGTAAAATGATAACTTCTCAATCAGCACTACATTTGCACGTGATAAGAATCAGTCAGCTCACACCAACACGTATGTGCTGTGGCGTGAAAGGCAACGCTTTCTTTCAGAAACACGCGAATGCATTGCAGAAAGATAACTTCTGTTTCATGCTTCACATCCAACATTTCAGGCCCTATGAACCAATCCCAAAAGCGCTCTATAAAACACTATAAGCGCAGCTAGAAGCTAAACCCTGGTGCAGTCCTGCTTGAGTGGAAAGATTACAGCACACACAACTTCTAAATAAAGAAATCTACCTGCTGACCGCCCATCCGAAGCCTTTTGTTTACAGGTTCCGAGTCGAGTTGTTGATTCATAGCTTGATTGACCTTAACGAAGGGTGTGTGTCGGATGAGAAAGCCATAATAGGAAACGGCCCTGATTAGAACTAACTTGAGGATTGGTGGCCTGCTGATTTTGATCGTCCACAATGTTCATGGCAAGGGATTTCTTGATATCTGCGTCTGGCAAAGATTCACGTTTCGGGTAAGGTATTTCAAACTTATAGAAGACATCTTCAGTCGGTTTTGGATCCATCTGAAAAAATACTATCGAAGTCTAGGCAACCAAGACATCAGCTTCGCAACGGTTACGATGTAAGCGATTGGCGTGAGGGGTCAAAGTCGGCTTCTCACAGCGAGACATAAGCTTGCTCTGATTTACCTTAAAATAAGGCTCTTCCATAGCATCTTTGCAAGATATCCTCTTGTTCGGATCCATAGTTAAGAGCTTCACCAGTAGTTTAAATTGCGGAGAGTCGGACTCAATTTTATGCTTCTCCATATACCGGGTCATACTGCAGTTCGGAAAGGCAGTCCTGAAAAGGGAGCTTAATTTGTAGAGCAGAACGGCAGCGGAACAAAACGAGAAGATAGGATTGCATTAAGAAAAACGTACTGCGACGATTTGATGTCGGTTTGAAGTTTATGGTAATCGGGCATTTTCTTGAAATCGTTCCACTCACTTTCTTGAGGGTAACCCATGACAGTAAAAATCCTGCAGGGAACGCAATTAGAACAATGGAGAGTCAAATGAAGGATTACCACATGAAGCAGCAGTAAGTTCGAGGTTACAGAACATTTCACACTGAAGGTCTACGTAAACATTTTCATAACTGTAGCATACCTTTTCAACTGATCATAATGATAAGGACTTTGAGCCTTTATATCCTCTTCCTTACAGAAAAATACTGGTTCTGCCGTGAGCAATTCAGCGAATATACATCCGATAGCCCAAACATCGATAGCCTTGAAAAGAAAATTGATTGATCTACCTTCCTTACCAACATACTGTAATCTCTGAATTACTCTAGTGCCTAAACTCATAATGAAGAAGAAGGAAAAGGCACAAAAGACAAAGGATGATGAAAAATGTCGACATGAATACTAAAACAAATCATAACAGAGGTGCACTGAAGAAAGAGTTGGCGATTGTTACACAAGGATAGATAAAGGTGGAGAGCTACCACGAACGTGGAGACGGAGCCCTAACGTTCTTGATGAGGAGTTTCACGTCCCGGGAAAGGTACATCCTGGAGAACCATACCACTTCGCGGGGCAAAGATTTTACACCTTCGCGGTTGTGGCAACTGTATTTAAATTACAGGTGAAAAATTCACACCGAGTTACAAGAGCAGTGGTACATTCATGTTACGGTAAGAAAAGCAAACCGAAAAATTTCTACCGTTCTCTTCGAAAGGTTGCATAGATGACTCGTGATACACGTAGGAAAGTGCCACAATGACAACATCAAAGCGCTGTACGGTTAAATCAACCAGCAAAATGTCCCCGTTGGTCGTTTTCCGTTCACATTAATTTTCGTGTGCGCACTTACGTTGCAGCCTTCGGAAAATATGAGACGTTTGACTGTTTGTAAAAAGGAACCGAAGCATGTCATGTTTCTTTGATCACTGGGTTTCTTTTTATGAGGGAAACAAAAAAAAACAACTCTGACGAGTTTTTTTTATCTGGCTGAAGTCTTAATGGAGCCACACTCTACACAAACGTGCAGTGCTCCGAGTAAAAAAGGTAAAAAAGTATGTAAAAATGTGCCGTTTAAAAATACGTGAGCTACACTCAGTATCTAAAAAAACAAAAGCAAATGAGATGCTGTATTTGCTACGCAGAGCCAAGGAGTGGGTGCAAGTTCATTTCAAAAGCGAAAAGAAGTTTGAACTTTTGCTAATCCAGTGCCTTTGGGTATTGAAGCTCCGAAAACTCCAACGTACCTTAGTGTAATGTTTGGCACCGAGCAATAATTCGGGCGCTCGATACCAAAACGTAACCACCACAGGATCTAGCTCTGCTAAAGGCTTCAATGGATTGTAAAAGATGCGAGCAAATCCCATATCAGCTATTTTGACTCTGAAAAAAATGTCTGAAACGGTCACGTCGCTGATAATACGTAACACATACCTCCCACGGTGAACACCAGGTGCATCACCCATGACCAGTATGTTTGCAGGTTTGAGATCGCGGTGTAAGACCCAATTGGAGTGGAGATAATGTATCCCTGAAAGCTGAAATATATGGCCAAGCATTGATGGAAGAAATCATAAGGAGTGTTCAAGTTTCGCGCTAGAACAAGAACGCACACCGTTTTTGACAAGTAATGGCACTGACGCCTCCACTGATAAGTATCGATGAAACTTAGGGCTGGGTAGCAATGTGGCTGTGGGGGGAAAACCCTTGAAAAGCTGCACTAAACTTCCGAGACAGTGACAAGGGATGAGAGAGCGGCAGTAATTCGATAAGGTAACTGGGGTGGAAGCAGAGCTTAGGGGACCACTCGTCTACATCCTCCCTTTAGCCAATGCTGAGCTCAGGAGACAACGGCCGCCACGGCCTAGGCTCACAGCCTTCTCATGGAGAGAGAACTGCGCACTGCGTGCCCTGGGATCAAGAATCTCTTTGCAAAAAATCACTCGGACAGTATGACCAGTTACAGAAAGAAGTGTTCGAACGACCCTCTTCACTGACCATCGAGACAGGGTACAGCATCTGTATGAAGTGGTGTTGTCAATGTGATCGTGATCGCAGGGAAGGTCTACTCAACCTGTGCATGTTACAACTACCATGAGTCTCGTTATACTTGAGGAATGCATCGTCTACTAGTAAAGGGTTTCGAAGAACAAGTGTTAATTCGAACTGATTAAAAACAAACTTGTGAAAAATCAAATACCGTCTAGAATTTGGTACAGAATACTCTTCACCATCCCCTTCGGCACCATCACAGGCATTTTCTTTGCTTTTGCCCCTCGATGGTACTTGATGATATGCCAGAGGTCATGTTCAGCATAGTCGAGTAACAACCAAACCTGAAAACAAAGAATTAATTCATTCTTGAGGAAAATATCACAACATTTCGAAATAAAAGAAACTTGCCTACCAATCTTTGGTGAAGGAGGGGAAGGGGGTGGAGAGACTCAGAGGTTTTCTTTTGTAAAAGTGGCAATTATGGGACTATGGAAATAACTATAATCAAGATGAGAGGAGCTATGTTATGTTTATTACGCTGCATAAGGCAAACGTGAGAGAACAGAATAAACAAAGAACGTCGAAAGAAAACCCACTGGGAACAGTTACAGAACGATACATCAAACTCGGAAAATACGCTTGCTCAGTATATCAAGAAAATATCAAACTAATCAAAGTGAAATGATGCGACTCGAGCTGGCAACGATCCGAGACTAGACTATTCAACTATTGGTTAAGTTAGGAAATTCTGAAGTCAATCTCAAATAACTAGGATGTTAAATGACTAGCCGTGCGAGCTACAATCCTCTTAAGCTGCCGTACAGTATTGGGACAGCTAAATTTTAGTGACCTTCTTATATGTGCTCGCGGCTCTGAATGAGAAGCTAGCGGAGTTGGAATTTACTAGGAATAACGTCAATCTAACTGCCACTCAAACTGGTTCAGGTTCACATCCTCATTATGCTTAGGTAGGCAGTCTCCTTAGCGGGAGCCGCAGTTCCACAGGAGTCCTTTAAATGCCCTCCAAGACCAATGATGACAGAACTTAAAGAAACTCACCTTCTTCTCATTAGTGAGAAAAACCCGCTGCAAGCAGATAAGATTGGGATGCCTGAACACCTTTTATTTACGACATACATGATGCGAACCTTTTCACAAAACGTTTCAGTGGTACAGTTCTGAAGTAGCTGCAGCAGCTCGAAAGTGACTCACTTCAATTCTCTCAATAAAGCTATCTCCCTGCACGCCGACATTGAAAATCCTTGTCCCTCGATGAGTTTCAGAGCGTACTCCTTAGCCGGATATTTGGCTGAAGGAACTTTGGGCTGTGCTTTGAACACATGCCCATATGTGCCGCGACCTACCTGAAACAATAGGGTTCACAGACCACGTTTGTGAGGAAACAAAGCGAATTCTAACTAACTTTATGCCCATCGTAGTAGAACAGGTCGTCGACATTTTCACGAGATCTGGCCAGTTCTTGTTTAAAAGCATAGTCAATCATCTTTAGCAAGTTGACCTTGTATCGTCATGCTTAAAATGAATTAGAAGCGGCTAGCAATGAAGAAAACTTCAAAGCAAAATTAGGTCTTCAAAGTAAACAATAAAAACGGTGCTAACGTATTTTGGGGGGGGGGACCACCGGCGAGCGGCCGACGCTGACTCTCCGCTCTTCGCCTTCCCCTCCTCTGCAAAAAAAAAGTAATAATTTCATGTTTAGGACATGGATATAACACCGTCCTAGCTATACTCAAAAGCTAAAACAGTTAAGGCTGAAAAGTGCGAAGAAACAGTTGTAGACTGGAAGATTTTGCCTAAAATACAAGCAATTGTTGCCTTTTTGTTGATTCTTGACTATAAAAGATCAAATATTTGTTGTTTTCAGTTCGCGTGGGTTTGCAGCAACCGTTTCCGGTTTGATCTTGTTTGTTCATTCTAATTTGGCTGGCTAGTTTCGGTGCGTTCAGTATGCTATGAAGTGAAAGAGGTCTGATGAGGCATCAACTCGCCGCTCTCCGCGTATCCCCCCAAATAGGTTAGCACCATAAAAACTCACTCGGAAAACTGTGAGAAACAAGCATCAGACAGTCGGCTACAAATACCTCCTATAGGGGGGGGGGGGGGGGGGAAAGGATCAAAGGAAAGACGGCAATTTTGGACGTGACGTATGATGTGTCGTCCGCAGTGAACCAAGCAGTGGATTTGACGTCAAGAGGAGTTTTCTTGTGATTGTGTCTTGCCACCACTTGACTGGCAAAATTAGTGTCCGAGTCAACATACTAAACATGTTGTCAGCCGAAGTGCTTACGTGGAGAGACGAGAGCGGCTAGCCAGGCTAGTTCGGCAACTATTGAACTATTCCTACCCCAAAACTCAAAAAAAATTTTTTCGCTGAAACATTGCCTGTAGATGTAATTCGACGCGCTGATCACGAATATCACATCCGTTTCGAGCGTTCGCGTCATTTGGCCGCCTTTATCAGCCAAATTGGCGTTGCCACCCATTTTTCACCAAGTCGATGAAACTTGCGTATGCGGGCGGGGCAGTCCAGACGCGTGAGACACCGCGGGTGTAACTTGAGGATCGCTGACTAACGAATGAGCATATACATTTTTGGCGTTGGCGCCATTTAGCGCCATTACGCGCCAATTTGGCGCCATATTAGCGCATAATGGCGCCAAATGGCGCCAGCGTTCGAAACCAGTGTGATATTCGTAATCATGACCTCAATTAACCCCCATATGCAAGTTTTCATCAGCTTTGGTGAAAAATGGTGGGCGCCAAATTGGCGCATAATTTCGCCAAATGACGCCAGTGCTCAAAACGGATGCTATATTCGTGATCAACGCATCAGAATTACACCTATAGACAACCACCTACGTTTCATGAGAAAATTTTTTTCTGAGTTCTTTTGAGGGAGGCAAGTAGTTCAAAGAGTGCCGGCCTAGTCCCCGGATGTTATACGTTCTTCCGTACTGCCATCTGTGTGAGATCAGATCGGACGATTATATCCATGAAGACGCGGCAATATGAGCAGCGTTAACCACGACTCTGCGTACCACTCCTCTCCGATTACTTTAGCAAAAGAGACAGAAGCGCCTAAAATAGGGCCGTTATTGGTTTCAGCCATTGTCGATGCATTCGGGCGAAAGAGACAAAAGCATACAAAGAAGAAAAAGTCACGAAGTCAAAGCCACATGAGAACGCGACGGGGCGAAAAACCGCCACAAAAACTAAAGAAGGACCGGGGTATTCGCTCTTTGGCCAACGCGGCTTCTGGCCAGTCCTCATCCACTCCAATATTCTCTGCAAGAGATATTCTAAACCGCGTAGAAAATGTGTATCTAAGCATAGAAAGGCCAAATATATGGTTTTGTACAATTTCCATACGATCCCAATAAACCTGGACGCAAAGTAACCTAGAACCAAGTTGCTGGATGCGCGAGGTGATTACAAAGACAAAGGTGGATTGACGTCCTCGTTTCCTGTGACCCTCCTCACCTCATCTCTTAGATTTCGAAGCGTGAACCTGGCCGCAAGCTGCAATCATGATCCCTGCAAGCGCTAGGGTGTGTCTGTGAATTAAAGTGATGTCCCTTACATTCTTGTCACCCAATCGACAAGTACGCTAAATCGTTCACAGCAGATGCATGATAGAAAGCACACAGTATAACGTACAAAGCTATATAGCGAAATAAGAAATGAGGGCAGAAATTGCCCCAAAAAATCCCAAAAGAGATGGTTGAAACCGAAAAAAAAACAAACCTTTTACTTTGTAAACCAGTAACTCTGTGTCGGTTTGTATGTATGGCTGTCCGTCCACAAAATGCTTCACGGGTTCGAATTAGTGGGAAGCAGAATACAGCGCTAGAAAACAAACGCGAAAACCGATTGGTGCAGATATCAAACCAAATGTTGATTGCCGCTAATACTCCTTATAAAAGGACAACTATTCGGTACACTCATAACCACTGCCACGAGCTGCTTCGCGTAACAGCTGTGGCAGTCTGCCGGCGAGGCAGCGTGGAGTGGAAGGGGGGGTGCGGTACAAGGTGACCTCTGTTCCTTCCCCTGCACATGCCTCAGGCGACCCGAACACGTGTAGGGTAGAGGCGTAACAGGGCGGAGAGAAGATGCAAGGTAGGGGGAACGGTGAGGTGGGAGCGAAGGCCGCACGCTGGGAGTAGGAGCACGCAGCAAGAGAGGAGAATACCGCTAGCAAAACTGCGAGGAATCAAAATCCTACTATATACTATACTACTATATATACTATATATAATCCTACTATATATAATCGCTTAACTTTGTCTGTTGGTGTGTGTTGTGTGAATGTATTTTGCTGTGTTCTGAGTGTATTGATCCGAAAATTCATAACTTCCTTCAGAACAGCGACTGTTGCCCTCAAAGCTGATCAAGTTATGCTAGGAGGTTGGCCCAGCGGAACACTATTGGTAGGTGGCAGGAAGTGATAAGAGCTGATAAGATACCGTAGGGGGTCTTAGAAAGCGAGGGTCGCCAACTCCATAACACGCGTCACAGCGACACTAGGACTTTGGTTCCAAGAAGCAAGATGATGGGCAGTATGCGGAACTATTATTGCGTGGTGGCAGTAATTTTAAACAGCGATAAGGATATCATAAGGATCTTAGAAAGCGATGGCGTTCACCAAATTCATTAACACCGAGCCACAGCAAACGACGACGCAGATTGGTTCAAGAAGTTAATATAGGGGCGGCAGTATGGAACATTATTGGTGGGTGGCAGGAATTGATAACAGCTGATAAGATAGCCAACAAAATTCACAGCAGAGTTATAGCAACACTGGGAACTGCTCCAGCAAGTAATTCAGAGGTACTTAGGGAACATTAAAGGAGAGAAAAGGAGAGATAATTTCTACAGTGTCCAACGAGGGCTTTTAGCGTATTCCGTATCTGCCACTCACCCACTCTGTAGGCAAAGAATGAATGCGCGAATTCCCTTGATGATCAACAAGATGTTTTTCCCCTTAGTAAATCCCGTCAGTTTGTGGTCGGCAATTGCTTCCACCGCCTAAAACGCTCGAGTTCCCCGCAAAAGAAGGATGTTCTGCAGTCTGTTGCCCTCAGGTGAGCGTAATGATAATGAGAGCCACTGTGATTTCGATATTTTTACCATCGGAATCCTTTCAACCGCTATGCTGTCCGATTTCCCAACGAATGGGATTTTAGAAATATGATATGATCCTAACATTGGCAAGTGTTCATTAAAAGGGAGAAGCATGATGAAATGGGCCGCTTTGGAAACACAGGAATTCAGCGGCGCTGTGCACTCTGCTTGCAGCACAGAAATACCTGTCAAGTCTGAGTAAACATACAGTTTTAACCCAATGCCAGCGCAGAAATGCGCGGTCATGCCAGCACTGCGGTAAAGCAACAAACTATGATGTTGCTTTTGATTATGCATAGCCCCCGTTAAATACGCACAAGCCATTTATTACTCTCCGAGGCCATTGCACAAGCCAACTCAGTTAATGCGGAAAGCTGGACGGTGAGCTCGCGCGTCGGGCTGCTATATCTCTTACCTCAGAAACGCGCACTATGAAGCAGCAAGTGAATGAACATATTCGTTTCCATTATGAAGTGCGCCTGACGAAGCCAAGCCAGCTAAAAAGAGGAGGAGAGCTCGGCGTGAGCCGGGCGATCCGACTGGTGATATAATAAATCACGTGTTCAGGCAAATGAGCTTCTCAGCATGAGCATGCGATTGCTGGGGTACAATAATCCACCTGCGCAGAAGACACACCAGCCGCTGATTCTTAACCCAAACCTACGCGCAGTGAGCATTAAGGCATTATGGATGGGTTTTCAAGGAATCGACTGGCTTCGAATGATCGCCGGTTCGAGCTCCTGTTGCAGGAATCCTCAACGAGGCGGATCTTATTTACTTTAGCTGGAAGGGGAAACGTATGTAGATGGCGTCAGTTGTCAACATAGTGTTCGAAGGTGAGTGCGAATAGGAGTCCGAGTGGAGGTTGGCTGAATTCATCAATCCATCTGCTTGTCAGCTCCTTTCAGCTCCAAAAAGGGGCTGTGCTCTGGAGGCATTCCATGGGTTTTAGGTAGAGTTGTAGTCATTGAGGTAGAAATACTCACCTTGACAGCCTGAAAAACGCATTCAGTTTGCAGCAGCACATGTACATTGCCCATCCAAGCGATGGGCGTAATTGCGCACCTTTACTTAAAGGCAGCGCCCGCGTTCAGTTGAGCTTTTCCTCTCCCTTCGTGATCAGGTAGTCAGGCTCCAGAGGCAGTGATTGCATCCACTTTGGCGGTGCAAAAACGAATGAGGATTCCCACGATGCCGCGCTTCCCTCATAGCCCCACTATCATTGGCACCGCCCACCATTCATTTCTAATGGTTGCCTGATGGTGCGGTTGTTCTGCTACTAACTTCTCCACTTCGAATGGTGAGAGTGAGGTGATAAGGGAAAACAGCTGATACCAACAAGTAAGAACTCGTGCGACCACGGCTCTTTTCGCCTTATGCACGTACAACCTCAGTTCGGCATGGGGTTCTATATGGGACATTTCCGGCGGGTTTTTCTGCTTTTTTCCTTCACTGCTGGATCATTTGCTACCTTGTTATTACTATCTGAGCCGCATAACTCATCATATTCGAACGCGGCAGCCTTTAAACATGGCGTAGGTTGCGTTGTTCCTAGGATATTTCATTTGATACAAGTGAAGTCAAGTTTTATTCGATAAAAATGTGTACTGGTCAAAGTCATGGCTGCAAATGCACTGAAATTGCAGTATCCCCTCCCCCGAGAATACAGCATCGTTGCGTGAAGCGCATAGGGGAATCGCACTTTTCCGCTAGGGAGTGAGGGTCTTATGTGGCCTTGAGAGAAAATTTCCGCGCTGGGAAAAAATTCTTTCCGGTTGTTGACTTTTCGTGACGTTTCCCGGTTTTTCCTGTTTCATGTGTGCTAATACTTCTCGCTCGACAGCAAAATTTTTGGAGAAAAGTAGGAAAATTCTCGGGAATTTCGGGAAGTGCTAGGAAGTTGGGGAAAATCTGAGAAATTTGCTCGTTTCACATCAACCATGTACCCACCTCTCCGCCGCTCGAGGGAAAATTTCTTGGTAAAAAACTGGAAAATGTGGGAAATTGGTAGGTAGGTGTTGGGGAAGGAGGTAGGGAGTCGTACTGACACCACCATTTCACACATCACGATGCTGTACCTGCCCCCCCCCCCTCTACAGAAGCGCAGCTGCCGCACTGTTCAAATGAAGTACGCAACAGCGGCCTCTCCATCCACCACACATGAAAAGCAAATTGTGATCAAATATTTATTAATTACGTGACAATATTTACCACAAACTGTATTACGTCATTTCTTTTATATAAAATAGCATTCGCAAAGCTCAATGAAACAATACCCTTCACAATAACCGTCACAAGGAATTCTTCCGCGGTTCATGCAGTCTTAAGAGCCACTCTGGATGGGTTAAGTTTTGGAAGGAAATGCCACGGCTTAGCTCAACGAGTGGAATTTCTGCATATATTGCCGAGTCGAAGTTAATTGGTGATAAGGCCCTCTTACGGACTTGCTGAAAAAAATATGATCTAATTGTGACCGATATCTCATTTGTTACTTGTTATTTTCAACTTGTTTATGTACTGTTGTACACTCGACATCCATTGTTTAACAGCCATGGATTTCATATTCCTCGCCTACTGACTAGTTCAGCCGAGCTTCATGTCTTTCTTCACGATCGAGTGGCCCCTGATATCGACATTACTTCCACAAAACTGTTTCCTTATAAAGATCCAGAAATTTTATAGTATTTTTGACACCTCACATATTCTGCCGTGCCGCAGGCGCCGGCGCCAAAACTCCCTAATCACTCTACGAAAACGAGTCCGTGGGGGTAGTTTGGTCTCCCTTGCACGAATATAACATGTGTATGATGAGTTGAGAATATTTAGCATGGAGTAAAAGGTGTACGCGGATAGCGCAACCTGTTTTTCTCGTCTGCACCCTTCCCCGAGATTGTGGTCCCTTCCTCTGCTAAAGCTGAGCCTTAGTGAAGAGGAGGATACTATCGCAGGCAACCAGGCTGAGTGCTGCGCTTCTTTACCGTTTCCCTAACTGCCCTAGCACACCGCTCCGCACGAATGCAACTGAAAACTGGGCTACTGGACTAAACGCGCTACAGTTGAAAAAGGCCTGTGATAAGTCGCTTGTGGTATGTCTCAGGAGGTTTCAGTCTAAACAAATGTGATATTCGTGTTTAGGACGACGAACTACCCCAGTTGACAAGTTTTCAGCGACTTTGGTGATTTCAATATTTTGGCGCCAGTGGGGTTTGGGGTTAAGCGACTATGATACTCGTATTCAGGGGGTCAAACTACCGCAGGTGACAACTGAGCGAACCCCCACGGAAAAAGTCAGTCAAAAACTGGCTCGATTCCTGATGTGGGGCAGTAAAGGGTAAATAGTGCCACGAAGTGCCTAATCACACTGTCCTTTGAAGCATTGACATCTCTGTCGAAAGGTGTAAAATTCACTAACAAAGCACCGCAGTAGCTTCTGTACTACTCAAAACGATGGTATTACCTTGAGAAGACAAAAATATGCAGCTGGTTGATAGTCGATGTACAGCTTGTGAGCCACGAGGTGACTCTGTTTCATGATCACAGGGAGGTCTTCCACTCCATAGACACACGAGTAATGGAACATTTTTCCTGTAATTGAAACCTGGAGGGGATGCTGCTTCACATCCAAGCGCTGTTTCGCTTTTGGGTTGTAGGATTTTGTGAACCGTCTATTTCACGGCGGTCGCCTAGAGTACGTATCACAGCAATGGCCGTCAGTATTCGCCTAAACTGTCTCCCGTATTGCCTTGTCGTCGCCCAGCCAATTCGTTACAGGTTCTCATATGCATTCCTTTCAGTTTTGCTCATGAGACGCAGCACCTCTCTTTGATTGGAATGCATGGAATAAACTTTTTTGGCCACAGCTTCCTGCACTGCCTGCAACTTCTGACCGGCTCATCATGTTTAGGGCATTAGTGCTCTAGGGCTAGGATTAGTGTAAGACTGGT